GTGGAAGAGAGACAAGTGTGTGTGTGTGTGTGTGTGTGTGTGTGTGTGTGTGTGTGTGTGTGTGTGTGTGTGTGCGTGCGTGTGTGTGTGCGTGCGTGCGTGCGTGTGTGTGTGTGTGTGTGTGTGTGTGTGTGTGTGTGTGTGTGTGTGTGTGTGTGTGTGTGTGTGCCTGCGTGCGTGTGTGTGTGTGTGTTTGTGTGCGTGTGTGTGTGTGTGTGTGTGTGTGTGTGTGTGTGTGTGTGTGTGTGTGTGTGTGTGCCTGCGTGCGTGTGTGTGTGTGTGTTTGTGTGCGTGTGTGTGTGTGTGTTTGTGTGCGTGTGTGTGTGTGTGTGTTATAGAAAAAGCCTCCAGACTGAACTAGGAGTGGTCCAATAATAAATAAATTGGGCCAAAAAAGTAATAAGTTGAAATTTCGGAGTAATCTGATGAAAGTAGGACTCTTTAAAATGTAATATTTCCCCTAAATTCTCTTTTTTCTGTTTATATTTAGAATCGGTAAATCTGTTGTGACCATGTTCAATCACTTAAAAATGTGTGAACGAACAACGGTCCGTAGCTCCAGAATCAGCAGCACAAAGACGGCTGTCTCACTATCAGCTGTGGTTCTGCAGAAGATCAAGAACCAATCACACACGTGTGCATGTGCTACGTTAGGTGTGGCTGGGTTTGGTAGGGTAAGGGTAGCGGGCACGGGGGCCTGGCCAGGGAAGGCTTCAGCAGTACGGTGAACGGTCTAGACCGGTCTCCTGTGGTGTTTCTGTGTTCGGACCTACGTGGATCCAGGGACCACAGAAACGTCAGTAGAATCAACATAAAGATGCTTTTCCAGGTTCCTGTTTGTGAGCAGACTGCCATGTTGTCAGAATGAAACCTTTCATACCGACCGTAGAACGGGCGCGTGTGATTTCCGTACGGTGTAGGGTTAGGGTTAGGTTAGGTTAGGTTAACCCTAACCCTAACCCTTGAAGAATAGCATGAGTTCAGCAAGGTGCATCTGCTTGGTGGCGAGAGACGTTTTATTTTTACCGGCCTAGTTTAGTTTTTAACAACGGGGAGATGGTGCAGCATGTCTGCGTGCTGCGATGCATTTTATCTGGAGACCTATGGGAACCGGGCCACCTCCAGACCTTACCCTGTGTGAAAAGGCTTTGCACTCACCGAGGCCGAACTCGCACATCTTTAAAAGTCTGTTAGAAAAAGATGGCAGAATGAGGGCAAAACCAACCAGAGCCACGCGATGAGCAGTTACAGCCACCAGGTGGTGTCCGATGGTCATTTTATCCTCTAGTTCTGCCAGAACATCAGTTTGCTGCCTGCACGTGTTCTGTTTCTGTCAGCCAAACGGTAAAAACATGACGCGTAACCAGTTAACAGTTGTGTGTGTTCTGTCTGTGTGTAAAAACAACTATTTCCTGTTGGTCGTCGTTTGGATTGTGGTGAAAGTTATTTTAATTCTGATGAGTTTAACCACAGCCAGCACGATTCTGCAACCCGCTGATGGAAAGTTGTGTCTTAAAACAAGATCTCTGGATATTTTAGGCTTTCCAGAGTCAGAAAATCCCGTTTCAAACCGGATTATGAACGGTTTCATCCGGAGTTGGGCAAATCATAACAGAGAAGAACTGTGTCCATGTGAAAAGTTGGTAAAAGCAGCTGTCTGGCTCACAGAGGTTCAGTTTCACTCATTTGTTGTTTGAATTAAAACATGATGGAGTTCTTTATTTTTATTTGTTTTTTTACCGTGTCCTGTCTGGCTGTGAAGCAAACAGAATTGATGTCTGAATGCTGGTGGCAAGCCTTACAGATTTACTCTCAGGTGGAGCATCAAAGCATCTGCTTTTAATGTCACGCCTGATACTTAAAACTTTATTGTTGTTGTTTTTGAATGCTTTGTAATTCCGACCAGACACAGAGTCAGAGGTGAAAGAGAAAGGAAGAGAAAAAAGTTGTGTGTGTGCGGGGGGGGGGGGGGGGGGGGGGGGGGGGGGGGGAACCACTACCAGCAGCCGGCAGAGACCCTGGAGATATCGGCGGCAAGCCCACAGGCCCGCCCGCAGCCTCCCACCCCCTAGCCGGCCGAGGCCGGGACTCAATGACCCGGGACCCAGGGGCGACCACCCCTGCCAGGGACCCAGCAGAGCCCAGGGACCCAGACCCCACCAGGCAGACGCCAAAAATCTTAAACCCCCTGACCCGGGAGCCACGACCCAGGCAGACCAAGGCACAACACTCCACACCAGGTGTGGCAGGGGGAGGGGGGACAAAGATCTATATCATCAAAAGAAGTCCCAGGAGAGGGGAGGAGTCAAAGGCCCACCTGACATATACAGTCATACACAAACACAGTCACACACTCCCTCCCTCATGCTCACACATGCACATACAACCCAAGACTTACAAAAATGCACGCCGGACACCCACTCATGCTCCCCATACACACCCTATTCACTCTGGTCCCGGTACTGCTGCACATGGGGTACAACCATCACCGGTTCCAAGAGTTTGACCCTTTCTGCTGGGGTGCTGATGAGCAGGCTCCCCCGCCCAACGCCGAGCACAGCAACCCACCACCCCAGACCCCAACCAGACGGCCAGATCTCCCTCCTGGCCTCCAGCCCCAGGAAGCCTAGCAACAACAGAGGTGTGCTAAGACCCCTAGTCTCCCTCTGCCTCCTCCAATATAGTATTAGTGAGTGTTGATGAGGTGTATTCCATGGCTGTGGTTAACGGGCAGTGTGGGCATCGTCTGGCCTATGCCAGCTGATGCCACCGCACCGCCCCACTTGCACCCACAGCCCTCGGTGTGTAAGTGCAGTTTAAAATTGGAAGTGGGCACCGGCGCTCAGGATGAGGCTGGGAAATCCCCTTATCAAATGCCGTTGAATGTGCTCACTCCCAAGACCCTAAGTGTGTGTTTGTGTGGAATGTCGTTGGTGGAAGTGTTTAAGGTGCAAATAAAATTGGGGGGCAGGTTGCCACAGGAATGCAGAAATGGGGTCCATACCTGCACTCCCTAATTTGTCCACTCCATCGAGATTGATCTGAAGTGGAAGCAGAGGCTATATCAAGTGCAATATGATCTAACAAAAGATTTCTATACTGGTTAATGCAAAGAGTTTCTCTATTTTTCCAATTCAAGAGGATAGTTTTCTTAGCGATGCATACGGCAGTCAGAACCACGTGAACCAAAGATGTTTCAATCGGGACATCGTCCAGCTTTCCCAGTAAACAAAGAGAGGGGGAAGTTGGGATATGACATTTCAGAGACTTTGACAGATCCTCACATACTCTACCCCAAAATTCCTGGACAGGTGTACAGGACCACAGTGCATGAATGTAATCATCAGGAACGTTGTTTGTGCAGTGTGTACAGGTGTCAGACGACACAAACCCCATCTTGAACATCCGATGACCTGTATAGTGTACTCTGTGTAGAGTTTTGTACTGAATTAATTGTAAATTGGGGTGTCTGATCATTTTAAAAGTTTTTAAACAAGTTTGGGACCAGAAGTTCTGGTCAAAGCTGACTGATAGATCCACCTCCCATTTTTCAATAGGGATTATTATTCTATCGTCTATTTTGGACAGTGTCTTATATACTTTAGACAGTAGTTTGGGGGGTTTGAGATTATAAAAGTCTAATACCCTTGGTGGTGTTTGTAATTCTATTTTATTGAACTTAAATTTTAGTTTGACTACAGATTTAATTTGGTGATATTCTAAAAAGCTATTCTTATCTATTCCAAATTGGGAGACTATTCTATTAAATGGGATGAAGTCCAATCCTTCATATATGTGTTCCAGGTATAGGATTCCTTTATTTTTCCAGTCCGGAAGGTTCATCATTTTGTTATTTTGTGAATCCTGATAAGAATAGTAAATGTCTGACCTGATGTTGGGCTAATACAGCCAGTCTGTCACTCCTCGCTCCTCGTAAAGCTTATTGTCCACATAAAGCTTTTCCACCGAGATGACATCCCTCTTCCCATCCTGGATAAACTTTTTGCGCAGCGGAAAGTGGACCCGGCGCAGATCCAGGATTTCCTCAGGGAACTGGTCATTAACATTGAAATCTTTCCCTTTGAGCTCTCTTCCGTGACTTTTAACAAGATCTTTCTGCTTAAAATGTTCAAATTTAGCCACGATGGGACGAGGTCTTCTGCTGTCCACTCGTCTAGCTCCAAGGCGATGTACCCGGTGAAAGGTACCCGGTTTCTTCGGGTATCTTCATTTGTGTCTGGAGAAAGTTTTTTATTGTTTGCTCGCAGTTCTCCGCCCCTCCCGTCTGCTCCGGCAGGCCTGCGAACACCAGATTATCCCTTATGCTGCGGGCCTGACGGTCCAAAACCGTCTCCTTCAGAATCTTGTTGTCCTGGGTGATCCGCGTCATTCCCTCTTCCAGAGAAGAAACGGACTCCTGCAGAGACGCGTTCTCAGCAGCGAGCCACTCCACCTGCTCCTGGCTGAACTCCAGAGATGTTCGGAGGTTCTGAAACTCCTGGTGAAGAACCTCGAGCAGATGAAGTCGCCCCTCAAATCCCAGAAGCCGTTTATCTATAGAATCTAATAATTCTAATACGTCCTTCCGGGGAGATGAGGCCTCAGGCGAGTCCTGAGGACGGCTCCTCTTGGTCCCAGCAGGTGTTTCAGGCTCAGCTGCTGATTTCTTCTGACCCATAACGAATAACTCAAAAACTCTGTCAATATAGTTTTGTAAACTTTCTAAATTATCTTCACTTACCTCCAGGTTGAGTGAGTTATACTTACCAGATTATTTTTTTGTCGTCAGTAGATAAATTAGGCAAAATGCGTCTTAATTGTGGATGTTTGTCAACGAGCTGCCATCAGCTTCAAACGTGTATCCGGTGATCGGCCGTCAGCGCATGCTCAGCTCCTCATCCTCCTCGCCCACCCCCGCGGTCGAGGAGGATGAGGAGCTGGAGGCGGATGGAGTTCTAATTTAATCTAATCAGATTTTTTCTTTTGGCTTCTATTCACAGGCTTTGAAAGCATTTTGGAGGGCTTGTTTGGGCCGGGACTAGTCAAGGATATCACTCTTTTCCAAGGTACACACACACACACACACACACACACACACACACACACACACACACACACACACACACACACACACACACAGGTAATTGAGTCCGTAACAAATGAAAGTGGTCCTGGTACCGACGGATGTGACTGGTTTGGTTCTGCTGGGATTGACTTCAGTGGTATGAAGCTGGACGACATCACACAAGCAGCTGGAGCTCTTCCTGTTGGTGGCGACACGTTTGTGGACGTCCAGTGACATCATCACTGTTTCATGCTGAAAACGTTCATCACAACTCCCCCCCCCCAGGTTGGGAACCACTAAACAACCAAGTTTCCTAGAGTCCGGCTCCACGGCCCTCACTCATTAAACGTTAGTAGAAATATTCCTAGATTCCTTCCTATGAATGAAATCTAGAATGTTCGTATGAACGGTCAAAGTCCTGATGCTAAACCTCCGCTACGCAATCCTCTGATGATGAATGCCACCTGAGCCTAACTAGGAGCTCGTCTCCGTGTCACACTACGTCCTCGGCTCTTGAGGGGATTCCCTGGGTTCTTCCCGAAAAACAAAAAATTGTGGACAGTGAGATCGAGACACTGGCCGTGGAGGTTGTTGTTGTTTGCAGAGGTTGTAAACGTTGTCGGGACAGAGGAGACATTCCTGCCAGGAATAAATAAAAACTAGAATCTGATAAATCATAACGTACGGTTTGTCGTTTCCATTTAAGGACTGGTTCTGGTTGGAGTTAGTTGGAGCTCACAGCATAGCTCCAGAAGGATCTCCAGGAATCAGATCCAGTCATGAGTACATTTGATAAGTGATGGCCCAGGTGTTTGGCCAAGTCATAGGCATGCTGCTGGAGTAGCATCAGGAGGCTAACATGCTGCTATGAGAAGCCTAAAGCCTACCTCACACTGGAAGCATCGTCTGCGCTGAACGGCACGGCTTCAAAGAGAATCCGTCAGAGTCTATGGAGGTGCACCGAACCAGCCGCGTGCTGACCCTAACCCCAGAAGCTGCACGCCGCGCCGCTACACATAGGATTGGGCTCTTTTCTTTTTTTTTTGCCACAAGTTGCTTCTGGGACATGACAATTCCCACAGTTAACATAGGGCTAGACAGGAAGTCACACACGGTTTCAGTGTAAACCCACGTTAGTTTTCAAAATAAAAGTCTATTGCAGCAATGTAATTTTATAGTACGTCAATACAAGTGACCTAACAGCAATTTTACTCCCAGCATTGTTCCAGAAGTGTATTTCTCATGGTTTTAATCCTGGCAGTGGAGAGGATTAACATCATATGACTACAAACAGCAATATCCAACTTGATTTTCTTAGTTTGGTTTAGGATCCCTGTAGCAGGGTGTGGGTCCACTCCAGCCCTCAGCCAGGACGCTTGATTTGAAACTGTAGGATGTCTAAGGAAGATCCTGCCTTTCTCTACTATGATTGGCTATTCCAAGTTCAGACTGTCCTCCTGCCACCAACAGAAAGCTGTTTTGAGGAGTTTTATAAAGAAAATGTGAACTTAGCACCATAGTAACCATTCTGGCCTGTTTATTATTATTATTATTATTATTATTATTATTATTATTATTATTATTATTAATAATAATAATAATAATAATAATAACACATCAAACTTACGTATATAGCACTTTTTAGGAGACTCAAAGACGCTTTCATGCACTCTTTTTATTTTGTTTTTTTTCTTTAATAAAAGGACCTGAAAAACATCAAATGTCAAATCAAATCACTTTTACGTCACATGTGCAGGTACACTGGTACAGTACATGCGAGTGAAATTCTTGTGTGCGAGCTTCACAGCAACAGTTGTGCAAAATACAATAACGTAAAAACAAGCAAAATATAAAAATGGCTAATCTAAGTAATAATATATATATAGTATGTAAGGTATATACATTCCTAAATGTGTGTGCTAACTATTTTATTTTTTTATTTTTAATGTGAACGTGTTATAAATCTTATTGCATGTATCACACCTTCATACCTGTTGGCTTTTAAGTATTGAGGTAATCTTATTAAAGCTGAGTAAATAGGATGACCTTACCTGGTATGAAATATAGTAAAACAGTTCTATGTTGCCCAGCCGTTGGGTCACACGTAAGCTTCATTCAAATCTTGCATCGCTGCAACACTTTTATTTTTGAAAATTGCCCGGCGATTTTACAATGAAATGGTGTTTCCTGTCTAGCCCTATGTTAACTGCGGAGTTGACGTGTCCCAGATGCAGCTCGTGGCAAAAGTAGAACCTGATCCTACCTTTAGCAGCGTTGGGTGGAGCGGTGCAGCGTTGGGTGGAGCGGTGCAGCGTTGGGTGGAGCGTTGGGTGGAGCGGTGCAGCGTTGGGTGGAGCGTTGGGTGGAGCGGTGCAGCGTTGGGTGCAGCGTTGGGTGGAGCGTTGGGTGGAGCGTTGGGTGCAGCGTTGGGTGGAGCGGTGCAGCGTTGGGTGGAGCGGTGCAGCGTTGGGTGCAGCGTTGGGTGGAGCGTTGGGTGGAGCGGTGCAGCGTTGGGTGGAGCGTTGGGTGGAGCGGTGCAGCGTTGGGTGGAGCGTTGGGTGGAGCGGTGCAGCGTTGAGTGGAGCGGTGCAGCGTTGGGTGGAGCGGTGCAGCGTTGGGTGCAGCGTTGGGTGGAGCGGTACAGCGTTGGGTGGAGCGTTGGGTGGAGCGTTGGGTGGAGCGGTGCAGCGTTGGGTGGAGCGGTGCAGCGTTGGGTGCAGCGTTGGGTGGAGCGTTGGGTGGAGCGGTGCAGCGTTGGGTGGAGCGTTGGGTGGAGCGGTGCAGCGTTGGGTGGAGCGTTGGGTGGAGCGGTGCAGCGTTGGGTGGAGCGTTGGGTGGAGCGGTGCAGCGTTGAGTGGAGCGGTGCAGCGTTGGGTGGAGCGGTGTGGCGCGGTGTGAAACCGGTGTTAACTTAACAAAGTGAAGACCTAAGACAGCCTATAGTAAAAAGATAATACCAGGAGAGCCAACAGATAAAGGCAGTTTAACACTGTGTTAAATGCAACAAGATTCATAACAAGTTCACACTCAATGTTTTTCAGGTTCTTTTACAAAATAAAAGCGGACAGAATGGTTATTATAGCGATGAGTCCACGTTTTCTTCACAAACTCCTCCACATCTAGCTGCAGACAGAAGCCTCTGCAGCGAGGGAAGACGGTTTTCTGCTACATGAAATAGCCAATCGTATGAGAGTCCTTCCAGCCAATCAGAGGCAAGAAAGGCAGGACCTTCCTAGGACATCCTACGATTCCACGTCCTGCAGCCAGGACATCACCAAGACCTTGACCCTGACAGCTTCCTGTTGGTATCAGGCATGAGGTCATGGGGCTGCTCCTACCACTCTGTTATCCACATGGTGATGGGCTACGTGTCAGGATGTAAATGAAGTGGACTCCATGTTGGTTACACATGTCCTGTCGGTGTTTTATTGATTGTGTTTCACAAATTTGATGAGTCCTGTGATTGCATTCATCCCTGTTCAGGTCAAACTCAGAGTACTAAAGGACCTGCGCCAAGGGTTTTGCTTCATGCCACCTGGCACATTGTTGTCTGAATATTCTACTGAGTTCTAGATCTTTAATACTGAGCAGAGCTGCTAAATGTGTGATAGCTTCCCAAAACAACCCCTTCCTGTTCAGAGTGGTGCAAACCAGATATAGATTTGATTTGCACCACTACACAGCCTCCTTCCTCCATCCCTTTCTGTTTCTCAGTAACAAGGTCAGCATGGCGCCCCAGAGCCATGTGACCCATCCCCCACCATCAGCCATTTTTAGAATATTTGGGCATGCCATTTTCACTCATGCATTAAACGTCCACATATGCACACACACCACTAAAGATGACACAGATTGTGTAAAAGCTCACTCCTACGTGTGCACACACACATCGTTATCAACCGAGAGGGACAAAAAAAAAGACTCAACCCTAACTCCAAAGACCTGCTGTCCACCCACAGCAGATGTCACACAGGTCTTACACTACTGAGCTGTTGGTTGTAAAGCATGAGTGTGACCCGTTATTAGGAAGTAATACTATTCATCTTAAACGTGTTCAGATAAAACCTGTTAGAAATCGTCGTTTCTTTCATCCGTCTGCTCACAAGCATCGCGTTTCCCAGAAGTCCGTAGATTAGAATCGTGTTTATACTGTGGGTATATTTAAAAGTAGCCTCATAATCGCTCATATTTCTAATTTTTTTCTCTTCCTGAGTAAATGGCTGTGTTGAGCGATGTACATTCCCCTTCCGTTACACTGGGGGTGCCACAGGGGTCTGTCCTCGGGCCCCTCTTTTTTTCCTTCTATCATCTCCCTTTGGGAAAGATCTTTGAGCGGTTTGGCATTGGCTACCACATCTATGCTGATGATTGTCAGATCTATCTGGAAATGAAGGGCCCAAACACAGATTTGATAATTGCCGATTGTCTCACAGAGGTTAAGAGGTGGACGACTGTAAACTTCCTCAGGCAGTATGAGTCCAAGACTGAGTTGACTCTCTCAATTCAATTCAATTCAAAAATATTTTTAGTCCCAGAAGGAAATTGATTGATGATCTCGCTCATTGTTTCTCCCAGATATTTTAGGTTGCGTCAGTAAACAGTGTGTCACTAGCTTAGGAGTCGAACCGGATGCTATTTTTTGATGGTCCCTCAGGTAAACGCGGTTGTGACATCCTGCTTTTTACTACTGCGCCGCTAGTACGTTTGAAACCTGTACTAAAGCGGGCACATTAGGAATCTGTGATTCATGCCTTCATCACATCCCGCTTGGACTATGCAAACTTGCGTTTAATTGGAACCTCAGTCTTAAACCGGCTACAGATGGTGCCAAACGCTGCTGCAAGGTTTTTAACAAACACAGACGTACCCATGTCACCCCAGTTCTGGCACGGCTCCATTGGCTACCTGTGCTTTTTAGGATATGCTTTAGGATCTTGCTCTTTGGTTTTAAAGCCTGAAGTGGTCTTGCACCGTCCTACCTGTCTGACCTGCTTACGCCCT